GCCGATTATATATAGTTATCATCGTTCATTCACTGACAATTAACGATCTGATGTTTATATGTACACTATCGCAGAAAAGTAAACGCAAGAACGCGTGAATCAATAAACACAAAATATTGAGTTGTAGCGTAAGTTTCAGCTACACTTATATTTCCTTTTTTTGTTTTGTTTTCATCCATTTTAATCTATAATTTCACCATCACATGGTGATGCATGCATACACTTGCCCGCATGGCCACGTGCATCACATGGTGATGCATCAGATTCAAACTCAAATTTCTATTTTCTTTATGAGGCAAAACTGATCAAAAACTGTGGTCATATGTTTTCGAATATGCTCAATAACATATCTGCCTGGGACTTCACCAGCTGAGAAAATATGACTTGATCAGACACCATCTTTCGTCCAAACACTTTGACAACAACTTTTATTGTAATATTTCTTAGGTACTCTTCTTGTAACAAATTAGTAACAATCATAGGAATTGTACTAAAGGTTCCAGACATGCATTGTAATGGAATTGACTCGTAAGCTTCTATGATGAAATTGAACAATTTAATAGTGGTGATGCATGCCGCGGGCCGAAAAAAAATCGCTAGGCCACGCGCGCGGGAATATGTATCACAAAAGACAATGTGTAGAAGCAACTGCATCGTTGGCCTGATAAAACCCCTTGACATCGGAACGTTTTGGTTTTTATCGCCTAGATTGTATCACGGTATAGCAAGAAGTGTACGAGATGACTGGTTTTGGAAATTACGAAGTACTAGGCAGATACAATATGTTGTTCTCACATGTGCGAAAACATATCATAATAGATTTTGACTCCAAAAGAAGAAAATTCACATTGTTGAGAAAACTCTTCTGTTCCCTGTGGCCAAGTGCATCACATGTGATGCATGCCGCGGGCCAAAAAAAATTCACCCAAACTAATGGCGCATTACCCAAAATTAATTTTACCCGAATTGGGATCTAAAATAAGAATTTCTAGCAGCATGAAAAGCTATATTATTTACACGTTGTTCCGCCGCTGTGAATGAAACGCTTGAGAAGCATGTGATAGCTTTTTTTGGAAAGGGTACTACAGTTGTGTTTACTTGAGATTGCTCTGCAGCGTAAAAAATGGTGGCCTCGACTGAACGGCATGCCACGCACCTGCTCAATGGGCCACTGAATGAAACGGTAGCACGAAGGCGGTATCAGCATTTGGCATAGTATGGCTGCCATGTAGATATCATAACATAGTGATCTCGGGATCATTTGGTCTACCCGATTTTGCCCAACCCAGACCTCAAAAGCGTATTCCTTGCTTTCAGCACGTTGCGCCAAGTTACGTGTGGTGGTTGCAGTGAGTTAGAGGGAAGCAGGTACCGATCCGATGAAGTGAGTCACTTCAAATACGTCAGTTAACCGACACACAAACTTCACCCTCAGTTTTCCCTACAAAATGGCGGTGAGCGAGGGGTGGAAGAGGCCAGAAAGGAGGTAAATAGAGCTCAAGAAGCGGCAGTTTTCCTGATTTCGTGTATTTCCTGCATCTAACGTCAAGTCGTCGTCAAAATTTTCGGAAAAACTTGTCAAAGTGACTCCCTCCTCCCACAACCCTTTCACTTTCCACAAGTACAACCCTTTGGCACTTTTCGATGGAATCGTTAACCTCGGTCAGCAGAAAAATCATCAAGTAAAAAATGCGAAATAAACACGAAAATGATCAAATAAAAAATAAATACAAATCTTCCCAAAATCGCAGATACAACTCCCGTTGGAGCTGTCTGAACAAACGGGTGGCCCTGGTTGAAGGGCTTTATAGCAAATTATAGCAAATTTGTTTTTCATACACTCAACTGAGTACGCCAATAGAGGGAACTAGGGCAGGAATGGAGCTATAGAAGAACTCAAACAAAATCAAAGAAACTGAGCCGAGCCAGCAGTGGTAGTCCGCTGAATTTCTAGTATATTATCAGCATTAATCAATCATATTATCAAACACGTATCCAAAAACGATATTGGTCTGAATGAAATTCAAATTTCTCATCGTATCCCAAAAAACGGGTCTGGTGAACGCCAGTCGATCTATCTCCTAACACACTAATTGATACCTTTCATTGGAAGTGGCTGAGATGGGGTTGAGTTCTAAAGACTTCTTGCAAAGGAGTGGGATGTTCCATGCGTTGTTAAGGAAGTTAGTGTCACAAACGACTTTTCTTGTTTTGCCTAGCCCGTAAGTGAGTAATTTCAAAACAAAACCAGTGAACGGGAAGCTCTGTTGAAGTGAACTGATTGGATTCTGGAATGGAAATCAGTGGAGTGAGGGTCGTGTCAGAGCTATTCGGGAAGCAATGCGAGTAGAGTCGGCCTGTCTGGAATGTAACTGGGCGAGTGTGTATGCTTGCAAATGTCAAAGAACACTATTTTCAGAGGGTTTTAAAAATCATAAAATTATAACACACAACGGTAGGAACTTCTACTAATGGAGAATACGTACTTACCGAAAGTCTAGGAAAACCAAGCCCTGACAAGTCGGTCCCAGCAGGGTGAATATCGCTTGAGGATTCCTCAACGGCACGTCGAGGATTCTCTGCCCGATCAGACACGATCTCTCGCGCGGACATTCACACTCGCCATGCCGTGCCGTCTGTGCTCTCCGCGCGGATGTTCACTCTCGGCACTACTCTCGCATGGTAGAGAGCTATGGTCGAGGATTTCCTCGACCGTTATTCACCCTGGGTCCCAGTTTATAGAAGTACATGTCGTCATCGAATAAGTATGGGTTGCTGCCCCATGAAGGAAAGTAATCGTGGTGATTAGTCCTTCAGTGCTGAAAAAAGTGAAAAACGTTGATAAAAATTGCAATCTCATGCGCGCCAATTGCTAAGTCGCGGTTTGTACTTCATCCCTACGGGCATCCTATTGGTTGTCTCTATCTCATTCAGGTACCCCCTTGGCGAGGGCTATGTGGTAGCGGGGGTCGTTCGAGGGCTCCTTATGACTGCAAGTGCCGTCGCGCTCGAGGCACACGTACATGGTACGTAGTCATTAAAGACAAGCTCCAGGATAAAACTGGTGTATAAGAGCGCTTCGTAGTGATGACTGAGCTGCGGAACGACCTGAAAGTGGAAAGGAAAGCAAGAGAAATCTTGGAAACGCTGAAATTAAGGCCTTAACCTTCAGTAAGGTCGGATGTGGTACGATGGCGAGACAGGGCGATCAAAGAAGAAAACACGCGAGAGAGCACGCCGTTCGAGAGAGCACGCTGATCTCTACATCAATCGCGGTGGGTGGGAAGCGTTGCAACGGGGTCGATGGTTGCAGGCCCGTAAGGATTAGCGCCCTAACCGCGCAATTTTTGCGACGAAGCTGGAGTGATCTAGGTAGGATCAGATCTCACAATTTCCCTCACAGTATCCTTCCTACTAGTCGAGATAATCGCGGGGTTTGCCTTTGACCCGATGTTGGGTAGAGGGTGAACAACCCTGGAAGATGAGCCGTGACGACGCCGCATCTGAGTTGACTCATTGTCAGCTTCAGTAAATTGTTGCAATTTCTAGGTCCTGAGAGCCACATCCGGATAGCCTTGGAATGTAAAACCATTAAATATTGGTAGAATTTCTTTTATTCTAGCAGAAATAGGAATCAATGAATTGAATAAGTGATGAGTCTTTCCGCTGTCATCTGCAGCCGATTCCACGACGCCGACATCCGTTCGTTCCTCGTTTGAAGCCTCTTTTGCATCCACATGCTGGAGGATGTGGTTTATGAGGTATTATGTAGAATTTGCGATTGCAGATCGCATCAACAATCCCATATGGGTACCACTTCTCGTTCTTTCCGCAGGTCTCTAAACAACTAATCGATTGAATGATCAAGTATGGGATTAAAAATACTAATCATTCATATTGAAGTGTGTAACGCCGTGCAGAGTTCGGAAGGGTTAGATTTTTGGGTGGGTAATATCAGGTTGTCTCGAAAGTTCATGCATATTTTTTGGATCTCAAGCCACAAGCTCCCACACCAAATTTTAATGTCTACGTAGGTTCTAGAGAGGGCACAACTTGCAGTAACTTATAACCGAATCATGCCCACCCTAGC